AACCCGTTCCCGACTTCCTACACAAATGTGCAGTTTCAGGTGATCCTTCAAGATGACCATCATCAAGTTGAGACAGGGAAGAAAGACACAAATGAGGGTTGAGGTAGGGCTGTCCAGGGCACACCGTTTGTAATCTATTGAGTTTTGGAAGGGATCCTATTTCCAAAACAAGCATGAAATTTGGAGTGGCATATGCTCCAATTTTCCACGTCCAGACCTAGTGTGCAAAGGCCATTGAGCCTTCAAGGAAGCCTCACTTTCCCACCCACTTCACATGTGGCAATAGGAAACAATGATCCAAGAAAGCCCCAGAGCGCTGCTGCTGAGGGAGCCAAAGGCCAGAGCGAGAGATAAAAGGGTTCCTCTTAGGGGGCAGGTCCTGGTTCAACTAAATTCCTTCACGTCTGGAGTAACCATGTTCTCCATGAACAGGACAGCCACATCTTCTCTGGAAGCTTTCCTACCTGTCATCCTGGAGAGACCAGGGGATGCTGTGTTCAGGCCTGAGACAGTCACTGTTCTGTGTGGGCACAAAAGTAATGTGGGGAGACACATGGAAGGGCATTGTTGGGTGTAAACAAATTTAGTTCCTTTTCTCCCTGGGCCCATGGATCCGGGACCTATCAACCCTGGCAACCAAGTAGGGCCTTGCTGAGTTCCAGCTGGTGGACTCGGAGCACAAGGGAAGTGGCCTTCTTTCCAGGAAACGGCACTCCGGGGAAAGCTCTGTTGTCTGAGTCGTTCTTTTTTCTTTCTTTTCTGTTTTTGAGACAGTCTTTCTCTGGGTAGCTCTGGCTGTCCTGGAACTAGCTCTGTTTATCAGGCTGGCCTTGCTCAGAGAATTCCTCTGCTCCCTCCCGCCAAGTGCTGGGATTAAAGGCCTGTGCCACCACACCCGGATTCTTTTTCTTTGATTATTTCTGTGTGTGGTGGGAGAAGGGTGCACATGCTATGGATCGTATGTGGGGGTCAGAGGACAGTGTGCAGGGGTCAGCACTGTCCTACTATGTGGACCATGGGGATCAAACTCAGGTGGTCTGTCTTGGCGGCAAGAACCTTTCCCCAGAGAGTCATCTCTACAGCCCAATGGCATTCCGTTAGCCCATGTGTTTTCTTAAAACCTCACGTGAATCTGTCAACCTACATCGTCCAGTGGAACAGAAAGGACTCATCAGAGAGATCAGGGGACTCTTCTAGCAGATGTTGGTCTCCACATTGGCATCCTGCCATTGCCCCAGGGTGTTTCTAGCCTTTGGAAAGCAGCAACTCCATTGGGGGTGTAAAATTATTTTAGTACCCAGGCCTGGCCCATGGCCCCTTTCCTTTTTTATTTCCCCTCTTACATTTTCTGGCGTCTCAGTGCTCACCCATCCCTGGTCCTGGTGAATCAAGCACACTCTGAAGGGTCTCTGCCAGATTCCTATAATCAGAACCTCCCAGAAGCCTTTGGTCCTTCCCCATGTGTTTGTCACCCCACCTCCCACCCCACACACACCATGCCAGCCTGCGGCAGGTACCACATATCCCCGAGACACCACTGTCTGGCTCTCACCATGCCTCAGTGCTGTCAGGATGCCATCATGGAGAGTAAACCCCAGGAACATGCTGAGGGACATGTGTGGCACTCAGCATGGCCCACTTACTGGCTTGGAGAGGGACTCCGGAGGTAGCGGGCCTGCACGGCTCTCACATCGGCTTCATCCTCCTCGTTTGGAACTACCTGCTCCTCCTCTGGGTCTCCACCGGTCGCCATGATAGCCTTCAGCCTTGGCCTGTTGACAGGAAAAGATTGGCAAGGGAATTCCAGAGGCTTTGTAGGGGGAGGGGGTGTGTCACCAATGTCACCTTGGTGGACTGAGCGTGGGGAGGGTACTGCACGCTACTATTCCGGTGAAGGACCCACAGGGGAACCAATAAGATGGAGCTCAGCTATCACTATCAGGACACCATGAAGTGACAAGATACTTTAGAAGGGACAACGTGCCTCCTTTTAAGGAAGTACCAGGGAAGTAGAGAAGGAAGCCAAAGTTTACCTTAACTGTAGTGTAGGAGATTAAAAGACAACGAATTTCCCACACTAAAAAGGACACTCATAGACCCCCTTCCAACTACATGAATGTGCACACCCTTTATTTTTACTATAAGGGACAGCAGGCCCCCTTCAGTGACACTGTGTCAGTCAAGGCCTTGGGCCGAGGTACTATCCCCACAACCTATTAAGGCGCAAAAAGTCCCGGACGTCCCAGCTATGGCTGTGGCCTGACACTCAGGACAGACTGGCACCCACTTAAATCTAAGTCCCAGCTCACCACAACAGACTTGAGAGGATGAACACTCACCTCTGACTGGTGTGTCCACACTGAGAGCCAAGGACCCCAGGAAAATGCCCAGAAGCTCCAGCTAGAGAGGGACCAAGCTTTCTCCCTTCAGGAGGGCTCCTCTGAGGGACAGCTGTTAGCAAGAAACCTTAGCTAGTCTCTAAAATTAGCCTCTGGCCCCATCGGGTGGCAGCTCACAGGGAGGAAGGAATGCAGGCTTCACTTAACCCTTTCCCTCCTGGCTGATTCTCAGACACTGAAGTTTAGCAGTGGATGGAAGGACCTGAAGAAAGACGTCTCCTGCAGGAGGCTGCCCGTTCAAAGGTCTTCCTGGAAATCAGCACATCTGTAATAAACAAACTTTCCTTGGCCTCACAGCATCTTGAAGAGGTCCAGGAATGAAAAATGCTGGTCATATGGAACACACTAGTCCTTGATGGTCAGGTTTGGGGACAGCACCACATTCTGTTTAAAGAGAAGTCACAGTTTGCAACCGGCCTGACATTTTTAACAGAAACGTGTAAGGACCATACAGTGGGCAAGTTGTACCCCCTTCACATCTCCGCCTCAACATTCATGGCCCTCGGTTGTAACTAGGGGCAACATAAAAAATTTTGAGAGCTTCATAAACCCACCCAATCTCATGACACTCCCGCCACCACCTCTACAATCCCCAGTAACCCAACATTTGACCCTCGCATCCTAGACGCCCCGAGACTCCGCCTCCTTCCGTCCATTCATCTGTCTTCATGTTTCCACTGGTCTCCAGTTCACCCTCGCCACATTCTGTGATCACACCTTCATCTGTACATCTTCCCGTCTGTCTCCACGTCTGTAGATGTTTACTAATCACCTCCTGCGCACCAGGTCCTGTACTTGACTGAGCTAGTTAGACACAGAGGGGAAAGCATCCCATCTTTCTAGCTGGATGGAAGTGTCTTCAGTATAGTGCCATTTGACATCAGCTGAATGAATGAATGAGCTCACGATTTATTAGGAGGCTGGAGACACGGACTAAATATAGCTGAAGTGTAAGTGGAGTGTAGTTCTGGGCCAACAAGAAACTTGGAACGCTGCGCTGAGCCGTAGGAAAGAGAAGCCCTCCTGAACTGGGAAGGCAGCAAAGGCTCCGTGGGAGAAACGGTGTGTGAGCAGGCGTTTAAAAGACGAGGTAGATGAAATATAACCGCTATAATAGAGGCGAGGAACTGCAGAGAACGCAGCTCACAGTTCTGGGGCAGGGAAGAATGAGCTGTGCTATAGAGAAATGTCCAAGTACAGTCAGAACAGAGGTTACACACTCCAGAAGGGAATTCCTGGAAGGGAGGGACGTTGAAGAATGAATCCTACCACACCTGAAAGGACAGTGTGAGGAGCAGACGTTCATTTGTTAAGTTCTGTGGAGTTAGCAATAGGGCCAGAGCAGAGACTCCGTGTCAGAGGGACTGCGTCTCAGGAGGAGTAATCTGCCAATGGTGTCATAAAATACTGGAACTGAAAAAGTATTTTATACAATTAGAGAATGCAGCAGTGTGACTAAGCGAAGGGTAATAAACAGAAAGCAATAACCTCTGCGAGCCGACTAAGCCTAGTAGCTTGAAAGGCTACAGGTAATTTACACAGGGAGTTCAGAATACAGGGCAACGCCCAGGGAAGCCTTTGCAGCCATCTCTGTTTCCAGAAGCGATGGGTTTTTCAAGAACACAAAGAGCCTCTTGAAACCAGGAAGCTCAAGACCAATATCTCAGCAGAAATGTGAATGAACTTGGAGGCGGGGACATCACTGTAATATTGTTACCCACTAAACAGAAGTCAGGGGTGCTGTGTGTACGAATGCAGAAACGCCAGATTGTCTTGTTAAATGCCATACTATCATCTGTGCATATTCTCTAATGTGTAAAGTGTCTGTGGCAGAACCTGACCAGAGAGCTCTCCTGGAGCGCTATTTCCTATAGTGCCTGCCTCACTGTGTTTCCCTGGCTGTTCTGGAACTCAGGCTGTAAGCCAGGCTGACCTCAAACTGACAGAGATCCTCCTGCCTCTGCCTCTGAGTACTGAGATTCAAGGTGCTGTGGCCGATCTGTTACATTTAAAGGTGTAAAATACCTCACTGCTTTGGAGCTGAGGGACCCCGAGGAGACACGACTTTGGTGTTGAAAACGGAGTCAGGAGAGCGAAGACATAACTATCTTCTCGGTTTCTTGTGTATTTGCCGCTTTCCCAGGCAGAGTACCAACCCGAGTGCAGGAACTTCCTGCGCCCTCCATGAAGGGTCTCTGTCCTAGTGTGGGTGTCAGAGAAGAAAGGGTGGTGTGTAGAAAAATACAATGCTGGGTCTTAACGTACCTCAGCAAACGTGGACAACGCCCTTCTTTTACTAGCTTGGAACCCTACTTCTGAGGTTGTTCCCTTTTTATAACAATTTCCCCGTCAGTTACATGAGAGGCCCACACCTAGTGAGAAGCCCAGGACTTTGCACCTCTCCTGAGGAGGAAGAAAGCAGGGAGAAGGTTGGCTCCAGGGGACGCTGGGGAAAATCCTTGTAGGGGCCTTTAGTAGAGTGGGTGGAGTGTGCGCCTCGCCCCATTGGTGAGCTCCCCTGTCAGTCTGTTGACAGGGCGGGGCATGTGCGCCCAGTCTGGCACAGGTGAACAGAAGGGAGTAGCAGGGACTTCAGGGTGAGCCAGGTCAGAGGCTGCTGTCATTTAACCAGTCAACCCAGACTTGTCCAGCGCCTTGCCAGTTCCAGCCTGGGTGTGGGGCAGAAAATGAGCAAGGCCATGTTGGAGAAGGTGGGACCTGCGCTGTGCTTGCTTTGCACAGGTGAGTAAGCCCCTCTCCCGCCAACTCCAGGGGGATGATGGCTGAGGGAGAGGCTGTTCTAGTGACCCCCGCCTCCCCTGGTCCCAGCCGTACTGTGTCCCACTGAGCAGAACTAGACATTCTGATGTTGCGGGGGTGGGGGGCAGTTTCCAGGCCTGTTCCAAGATCAAAATGATTCTTATCTCGATTAGTTGGTAAACAACCATCCCATTGCTGGAACAAGTATCTCAAAGGCTCAGAAATATCTGATTGGGGAGACACAGTATTTGAAATCAGGGATTGTTCTAAAAAGTCCAGGATGTGGATTAAGATACAGTCACTATCTAGGGCAGAGGTTCTCAGCCTTCCTAACGCTGCGCCCCTTGGCTATGGTTTAGATGTTCCTACCCTGCCTACTCTGAACACTGAAGTCTCAAGCACTGAAGTCTCCCCCCAAATCAGCAATTTGTGGGTTAGCAGCTGAGTCCACACTAAGTGATAAATAACAGAGTGGTTCTGTGGAGATGGGCGAGCTGGGTGAGGCTTGGGACAGAAGTTCCAGCATCAGGGGGTCTGGGCAGCCAGGATGGGAGGCCAAGGGGAGGAGTTTAGTTCCGACCCCTTAGGCTAGCAGCTCAGAAACTGTTGCTGGCTTCCCAGATCCAGGAGCCAGGGGGAGGAAGTGAAAGCTGAAAGAGAAACCCAGGATCCCCAAGGGGCCTGGGAAGCAGAGCCCAGGGAGCTCTCTCTTCAGTACTTCCTGACAAGCTAGGAATCACTGGGGCCACCACCCAGGTCTCCTGGCTTCCTTTCCTGCCTTGGCTTTGGTGCGAAGGACAGCCTGCTAGGAAGGACAGATCAGATCAACGAATGGAGGGGGAGTTAATCAACCTAGTTGGTTCACGTTCTGTGTTCACAACAGTTCTGTCCTTCTGAGGCAGCTGTCCCCTCACCATCCACCTAGATGGTGCGGCCACTCACCCGTGATAACGGTGAGGCCACTCATTGCCTCGTCTGCTCAGCTCCTTTTACTGGACACAGACTCGTGTAGGTGCCCTAGGAATGGGGAGTCTGGACTCATAGCAGCCTGAATAGAGGATTCTTGCCTCAGGGAAATGAGGCTGAAAGGAAATGGCTACCCACCCCTCTCTGATTCGGGGATTCTCTGACACTCTCCTGTGCATGGCTTTCCTCTGTACACACACACACACACACACACACACACACACACACACACACCAGTGTAAAACCCTGTGTTCTGTAGTCTGGCACTAACCCATGTGTACATGAAGAGGAGTAATACTGGCTGAGGGGAAAACCAAAAACTGAGATCACAGTCACTTGCCCAGCTTAGCAATGAGAAGTGTCCTGAATTCTGAACTAGCTGGAGCAGGCTGGTGGCCTCCTCCTGGAGTGCGCGGCGTGTGACCCCTGGGTGAACCCAGCCAGCAGAACTAGTTCTGGGGTGGGGGGGGTGTTTCCTGGCATACTGATAAAGACTTTAGTCTATCCTCACCCCCTTCCCCCTCTCTCCTGCCAGCTCAGCTCAGAATCGCATGCTCACCACATTTTTCTCCTCCACGACTCTACCTACTCAAAGAGGAAGGGCTGGCATGCTGGGGCAGAGAAAGTCTGCCAGTGGCTGGAACAGTCATTGCCAATCCCTGGTACCACCACAGATCAAACCAAAAAACCATCAGGCAGTGATCTCCCCTGGGCCACAAGGGAGGGCATCACTTCCTGTTTGTGTGAGGGGACGCCTAGACAGGACTCACAGAGGGCCGCCTTCTTCCCTTCTCTCTGTCACTGTGCCCATCAGAGATTGTGCTGATTGTTGGGAGAGGGGCACAGAGCTTATGAGGTAGCCCCAGGCTCACCGGACTTTGGGGAAGTGGAAGATATCATCACATAAGGTTATATGGTGGTGGTATAAGTTGGCACCCCAGAATTCTTTTTAGATTTGTTTTACTTTTATGTATATGAATATTTGCCTGCATGGATCTATATGTACCACATACGTGCCTGTTAGATCTCCTGGAATTGGGATTAGAGATGGCTGTGAGCTAGCAAGTGGGTGCTGGGGATCTAACTTGGGTCCTCTGCAAGAGCGGCAAGTGTTCTTAACTTCTGAGGCCCAGAGGTTTGTTTTATGACTAAAAAGACTGAGATAATGGCTCAGTGGGTCAGGGTGCTTGCTGTGAAGGCAAGAGGATCTGAGTTCAAATCCTCAGCACCCACATAAAAGGTGTTGGGCTGGGTGTGCATGCCTGTAACCCCGGCATGGAGGAGTAGAGACAGGCAGATCCTGGAGCTTGCCGGACAGCCAGCCTAGCTGAGACAGGGAGCTTCAGAGTCAATGAGAAATCTTATCTCAAAAAAAGCCAAGTCAAGTGGTGGGGAAGACATTCAGTATCCTCCTATGGCCTCTGCATAGGCATATACATCTGTGTATACACATATGTTCACACACACACACACACACACACACACACGGAGGACTAAAATTGGCCCGCTTTCATTATCATGTGCTGACATTCCTAAATAGAGTCACTGGCAAAATACAGCTTCCCGTCAGGCAGATGTCCATCCCATCATAATGCTGTCACAACCGGGGACCTCTTTTGTCTGGCTGCAGCACGGGCAAATTACTTCACCTTGTGAAATCACAGCGCTGTGGTCTGTAAACCGCAGAGCTAATTTACAATGCATCGGAGGCCCACTGTACCTGCCGCACGGTTCACACAGGCAAAGGCCTTAGAACCCAGTTCTGCATGGGAGCACTCAACGGACGCCACATTATTATTTTTGATATCATTAGAGAGAATAAATGCAGGAACGAGAAGTCAATGAGACGCTAGTGACCCATCATCTAAGAGCTCTAATCTGATCAACACGAGCTAAGAAATGACTCAGAAGTCAGTGTGGGTGAGTCCTAAGTTATCACCCAGATGGCCACCATGTGCCTGACCTCTTCCCACCCAGGCTGCTAAAAAAAAAAAAAAAAAAAAAAAAAAAAAAAAAAAAAACCAACCCTCCCTTTTGTACACAGAATTGAGGCTCTTCCAGTCCAGTCCAGAAAGTTTTTCATCCACCAGATCCCCTAACAGGTGAAGAGATGTGTAAAGAGGGTTCCACCAGGTACGCTCTACAGGTGGAGAGATGTGGAAAGAGGGTACCACCAGGTACGCTCTACAGGTGGAGAGATGTGGAAAGAGGGTACCACCAGGTACGCTCTACAGGTGGAGAGATGTGGAAAGAGGGTACCACCAGGTACGCTCTACAGGTGGAGAGATGTGGAAAGAGGGTACCACCAGGTACGCTCTACAGGTGGAGAGATGTGGAAAGAGGGTTCCACCAGGTACGCTCTACAGGGAGAAGAGTGATCAGTTCTGTCAGAAGCCAGGACCTGACATTATAAAAACACATGTACCGACACACACACAGTAACACACAAGATACACACATAGAAACTGACACACATAGACACATAGACACCCCCACATCAACACACACAGACTCCACATAGACACCCAGGCACACACGCTGAGAAGCATACAGAAACACACTCAGATACACATACCACACATACAGACAGACAGGCACACAAACACAGACACACAACAAGACTCACGCAGAGACCACACAACTAGGCACACAAACACAGACACACACCTTCCTAGAAGTATAGGGAATTTCTTTGTTGCTTCTATGCTAAATTGGAACAATACTGCTTTTCATAGAGAAATAAGGGAATCTATCATTGCAAACTGTCATACCAGATGAGAAGGAATGGTTTTTGTTTGTTTGTTTGTTTTGTCTCTCTCTTCTCCCCTGACATTAAAAGGTTCCAATAACCCCCTGGGTGCTGGGCCACAGTGGGACTCTGGGAAGTTTATTTTCAAGTTGCTGGCTCACTGAGGTTGTTCTCATGTTAGAATCCTTTTGGACCATTGTCATCGGAGATACAGTCCCCAGCAGGGCGAGTCTTTCTGAAAGTGCTGCTTTCCATTTGCCACTCTGAAGGGCCACGTTCCCGATGGCTTCTCAGGCTGGGACCTCCTTGGTTCTCCTCTGTTGGTGCTGAGTCCGAGCTCTGTACAGTTAGCTTGACCAGGCTGGGCAGGTAGAAGACACAGTCTCAGACATGAATATCTGGTAACAGTCAAATCAAAGAGCGCCCTTCTTATGTCCACCAACTCTTGATCCCAAGAGGATACGTTTGGGCCAGAGCCAGGGCAGTGCAAGTGTGAGGTGGGAATCCTATCATCCATCTGCTCAGGGCCCTGGCTCTAATCCTTAAGGTTCACCTCCCACCTGATGCCTGAGCATCCCCTGAAGGCACAGGGCAGAAGTCAAGGCTCACAGATGAAACACAATGCTGCCTGTCAGAGATGCGATCGGAATTACAATGTCTCAGCTAGTGTCCGTCTCAGCCCCAAAGGGTACATGTGAGGTCTGACCAGCCCCACGGTGGAGAGCGGCAGGGTAATGGCCTTCAACTCTGACCCATTTGCATTCACCGGGTTCCTTCACATTTTCTGAATCAGAATCCAGATAAACTGGCTGTGTGCTTCTCCATCTGTTGACGAATCACCCCCATGGTTCTGAGATGCAGCCTGGGTTTACAGCTGCAAACCGCAGCGTGAGGTGTGCGGCTCACGATCTGTGGCCCTGGTGCTCTGAGTGTGAATTACTCTCATTTTTCATCATCTGTCATATCCCTGAGGGTTGCTGTCTAGTTCCTGGTTTGGTGTCTTGACTGGGGGAAGCCAGCTGCCTGCATTCTTACACCCCAGTGTGCACACAGGGTACCTGCGATCTTATTAAATACATCTGGAAGGCCAAGGGTGGGGTATAAAGCTCTGTATTTCTAACAAGCTCCCAGGACGGGGTGGAGTGGGGAGCTGTTCAGGGATCACAGTTTAAGAAGCAGAACCCTTAAGATCCCAGCCCAGGTCTTCTCGAAATCTGGCTATGATGTTGGTCACCAGAAGGCTGGTAAGCCTGGCTGCGTGCGTGCG